CAGCAACCTCCAACTCCTGGGCTTAGGCAATTCTCTTGCCTCAGCCTCCCAAGTAGCTGGGACTACAGGCACCTGCCACAATGCCCGGCTATTTTTTTGTTGCAGTTTGGTTGGGGCTGGGTTTGAACCCGCCATCCTCAGTATATGGGGCTGGCACCCTACCAACTGAGCCACAGGTGCCTCCCTATAAAAATAAATTTTCCAATAGAAAATACATGAGTTGGGCCACGCCTGTGGTTCAAAGGAGTAGGGCACCGGCCCCATATGCCGGCAGTGGCAGGTTCATACCCAGCCCTGGCCAAAAACTGCAAAAAAAAGAAAAAAGAAAAGAAAATACATGAGTCATATAAAAAGTATAAAGAATATTTGAGTCTGGGTGGTGCCTGTGGCTCAAGGAGTAGGGTGCCAGCCCCATATACTGGAGGTGATGGGTTCAAACCTGGCCCCAGTCAAAAACTGCAAAAAAAAGAATGTTTGAGTCAATTAAATTCCTATACATTTAATGAGGCTTAATGTCTAAATGATACCACTATTAATTATAAAATAATTTTCTTACTATTCCTGAAAAAAAAACTTCAAACCTGTAGTAATCAAGGCAGTGTGGCTCTGTCACAAGGACAGACACACAGCAGAGTCAGATGAGGGTCCAGATATCAACCCACACCTCTATGGCCACTAGATTTCTACAAGGGTGCCCAACCGTCCAGTGGGGAAGGGACAATCTTTGCAACAAGTGGTGCTGGACTGTCAGACCTCTTCCTCCTGTTACATACAAACGTCACCTCAAAATGGATCAAAGACCTGCATGTAATAGCTAAAATCACAAAACTCACAGGAGAAACAGGTACAAGCTGTTGTGACCCTGACTTAGACAAAGGGTTTTCTTTAACAATGACAACAACAACAAAAAAAAGACACAAAAAGCACAAGCAAAGTAAGACAAAATCCATAAATTGGACTCATTAAAACTGAAAACTTTTATGCTTCAAAGGACACCATCAAGAAAGCAAAAGGACAATTCATGCAAAGAGAGAAAACGTTTGCAAGTCATCTACCCATCAAGGGCCTGGTGTCCAGAGTGTACAAAAAGTTGTATCACTCAGCAATCAAAAAAAAAAAAAATTAACCCAGTTAGAAAATGG